TCTCCCCCCCCTCTCGGTCCTCTCTCCCCCCCCCCCCCCCCCCCCCGTCTCGGTCCTCTCTTCCCCCCGTCTCTTCTCCTCTCTTCTCCCCCCCCGTCTCGGTCCTCCTCTCTTCCCCCCGTCTCGGTCCTCTCTTCCCCCCGTCTCGGTCCTCTCTTCCCCCCGTCTCGGTCTCTCTCTTCCCCCCGTCTCGGTCCTCTCTTCCCCCCCGTCTCGGTCCTTTCTTCCCCCCGTCTCGGTCCTCTCTTTCCCCCCTCGTCTCGGTCCTCCTTCTTTCCCCCCGTCCTCGGTCCTCTCTTTCTCCCTCCTCGGTCCTCTCTTCCCCCCCATCTCAGTCCTCTCTTTCCCCCCCTCTCTCTCTTGGTCCTCTCTTTCCCCCCTCCTCTCTCTCTTGGTCCTCTCTTTCCCTCTCCTCTCTCTCTTGGTCCTCTCTTTCCCCCTCCTCTCTCTCTTGGTCCTCTCTTTCCCCCTCCTCTCTCTCTTTCCCCCTCCTCTCTTTCCCCCTCCTCTCTCTCTTGGTCCTCTCTTTCCCCCTCCCCTGTCCTTCTCTTTTCCCCCTCCCCTGTCCTCTCTTCTTTCCCCCCCCCCTGTCCTCTCTTTCCCCCTCCCCTGTCCTCTCTTTCCCCCCCTCCCCTGTCCTCTCTTTTCCCCCTCCCCTTTCCTCTTTCTCCCCCCCCCCTCTTCCCCCCCCCCTCTGTCCTATCTCCCCCCCCCTCTGTCCTCTCTTCCCCCCCCCCCCCGTCCTCTCTCCCCCCCCCTCTGTCCTCTTCCCCCCCGTCCTCTCATGCCCCCCCCCGTCTCTGTCCTCTCTTCCCCCCCTCTCTCGGTCCCCCCCCTCTGTTTACTCCCCCCCCCCCGCTCTTCTCTCTTGGTCCTCTCTTCCCCCCTCTCTCTTCTTTCCCCTCCTCTCTCTTCCCTTCCCTCCTCTCTCTGTCCTCTTTCACCCCCCTCCTCTCTTTGTCCCCTCTGCTCTCTCTCCTCTCCCTCCCTCTCTTTCTGTCCTCTCTCCCCCCTTCCCTTCTCTGTCCTCTCTCTCCCCCCTGGCCGTTCTGTCTCTCTCTCTCTCTCCCTCTTCCCCCTGGCTGTTCTCTCCTCCCCCACCCCTCTCCCCTCCCTGTCAAATTGTTCACATTAAAAACAGGGTTTTAGTTTGCACACATTTGCAAATATATGCATAAGTTGCAGTGCCTTTTCATGGCATCCCAGTATTTTTTTGCAGTCCTAACGCTATACATTTTGAGAGCCTCCAGAGTAGAAGCAAATGCATAATAATGAGTAGACTGAGAGCAGGTAAGCCTGAAGAGAGCCAAACCCTCCTTAAAAGTACAGGGGTGCACTGGACACCTAGCATATAGCACAATGGCAGGTAAGGTGCCCAGTGTGCCTCTCACCAATATAACAACTGTACAAACAAGTGGCAACTGCCCCAATCTATAACTAGTATTTGCAGCAAGGAGTACATAGAACGGCAGCGCATGTCAAACAACAACAAAGAAAAATTCCCAGCTGAACTTACCAGTCAGCCTGCAACCAACCAAGATGTCCTGTCCTAACCGTTCACGTTTGCACACATAACTCTCCATGTTACCTATAGAATATGGTTATGTGATCACTTACTAAATCACTGGCCCCAGCCCCTTTACGTGTTACACCATAGGCATGGCTTTATCAAAGATCAATTGCACTTTGCTGTGATACAGTCACATTATTCTCAATGGCAATTCAGGTTTGATACAGCTCCAGACAGATGGAAAGACTGCAACATATAAATATCAAATGTTCCTCATGGTTACCTAGCCACAATATCAACAACAGCTACTCGGGTCTGCTGTGGCTCCATTTACAGTGCCTTTTTCATGTTACAACCAAAAACAAATGTATTGTTTGGGGATTTTATGTGATAGACCAACACAAAGCGGCACATTATTGTGCAGTGGAAGGAAAATGATAAATGGTTTTCAAAATTATTTACAAATATCTGAAAAGTGTGGCGTGCATTTGTATTCAGCCCCCTTTACTCTGATACCCCTAACTAAAATCAAGTGGAACCAATTACCTTCAGAAGTCACCTAATAGAGTCCACCTGTGTGTAATGTAATCCCAGTATAAATACAGCTGTTCTGTGAAGCCCTCAGAGGTTTGTTAGAGAACATTAGTGAACAAACAGCATCATGAAGGCCATGGAACACACCAGACAAGGCAGGGATAACATTGTGGAGAAGTTAAAAGCAGGATTAGGAGATATAAAAAAATATATCAAGCTTTGAACATTTCACGGAGCACTGTTCAATCCATCATTCGAAGTGGAAAGAGTATGGCACAACTGCAAACTTACCAAAACATGGCCGTCCACCCAAACTGACAGGCCTGGCAAGGAGAACATTAATCAGAGAAGTAGCCAAGAGGCCCATAGTAACTGAAGTAGCTGCAGAGATCCACAGCTCAAGTGCGAGAATCTGTCCACAGGACAACTATTAGTCGTGCACTCCACAAATCTGGCCTCTATAGAAGACTGGCAAGAAGAAAAAAACCATTGTTGATCAAAAGCCATAAGAAGTCTCATTTGCAGTTTGCGAGAAGCCAAGTGGTTGAGACAGTAAGATGAGAACTGTTTTGTTTACAAACAGTTCTCCTCCCCATCAGAGATGCTCGGCAATCACCGGGCACCGACGAGTAATCACCAGTCAGGACCCGGTGATTGACAGCCTTCACAGGTAGGGCGCTCGCGCTGTCTCCCTCCCCGGAAATGCGAAATCGCATGTGTATATATACGTGATTTTGCGCACCCATGCCACTCTGTAGCAGTGTTTCTGCTATAGGGCGGTCAAGAAGCGGTTAAATACCACCAGAAGAAAGCATTATAAATTTAATGTGGGTAGAGTGTTGCATGACCAAGCAATTGCCCGTTAAAGTAGCACAGTGCTGAATAGTAAAAAATGCCCTGATCATGAAGGAGGTAAAACCTTTTGGAGGTCAAGTGGTTAAAGTTAGATGGCTAGTGCCCCCTAGAGGTCATAAAATATAATAACCTATTATCAAAAAAACAGACTGCCACTTCATTATCCTTACAACAGGATTCACAAAAAATTTCTTTCTAATACAGTACTTGGCTTTCTGATGTATTTCTGAACATTGATAAACAAATTAAATTTGCTGAGTGAACATTTTAGGGAAACATTTCAAACTTTTTATTCAGTGTATTGAGTTCAGATTCCGTTAATTCCACTCCACTAAGGTGAAAAATACCATCAGAATCTAATGCTTTCTTTTCCTCTGTTTACTTCTCCCTCCTTGACACCCTCTCGTCTTCTTCCTTTTCCCTTGCTATGGTTTTTGTCTAAAAAAAAAATAACCACTTTTATCCCCTAAGGGTGCTCTCTTAGGAGACCTTTTATTTTAATTTCAGTAATTGGCCAGACCAGGGGTCCTTTATACTCCTCTTGTAAGGACAGCAGCTGATTATGGAGAGGAACACAGTCATATCTTCTATACCTAAACTGTATTTGTCTACTTGGGGAATGGTAGTTGTCAATGTATTTATATTAAAGCTTATATGGTGTTGTTGCCACTTGGGGTCCTAAGTAAGTTGAGTCTCCAACCACATGAATACACACTTAATTTGCATGACAATTTTATTCATGGAGTCCTGATTGTGCACAGCTGTCTCCATAACCCTGTTTAGTATTTAAATGGTTCTGTTGATTTCACCAGCCATTCTCCTTCTCTGATGATGACTGTGTGGTGGAAACAGGTTGGGCGGTGTCTAGGCTTGTGATGTCATATTGGTTTCTGCATAATGCGATTTTACCGCATGTGAGCGAATTACTGCAATAAACTTAAGATTTGCCCTTTTTTCTGTCTCTACCTCCTGTGCCACATGAATAGAGCCATAGCAGACCTGAACAGCTGTGGCTGGGTCACCACGAAGCTCATTTGATGTCTAAGGCTACGTTCACACTAGCCTTGTGTGCAGGCGGCAGAGAGGCGTTTGGGAAGCGTTTTTACCGCTTCCCAAACGCCTCTGCCAATTCTGCACATTACAGCACATGGTGCTGTTCTAACGGGAGCGTTCGCGTTTCGTCGCGGCAAAACGGACGCCTCTGGTCGAGTCAGGAGGCTTTGAAGCCTCCTATTCTCGTCTATGGTGCCGCTCCGCAAACGCCCGGCCGGCGTTTGCAGTGCGGTTGCGACACGGTTGCGGGGCGTTTGCGGAGCGGTAACACCACTCAAACTGTATTATAGGCGTTTGTGGGGCGTTATTAACGCTCGGCAAACGCCTAGCAACCGCCACTAAACTGCGCATGCGGCATTTGCGGAGCGTTTGCCGAGCGTTAATAACGCCCCACAAACGCCGGACCAACGCTTGCCAAACGCTATAGGGGCGTTTGGCAAGCGTTGGTAAAACAGCCAAGTGTGAACGAGCCCTAAAAGTTGCATCTTTCCATCTGTCTGAAGTCTTATCAAACCTGAATTGCCGTTAGTGATAATGTGGCTGTATCTCTCCATCTGGTAAGGAGTGTGTGAGCACTGGTATCATTCACTTGGACAGCAGTTATCATTCGGATTGATTCACAGTTTGATATTGTCAACTTTGGGACTTTTTGTATTCTATTTCACATATATGGACTTTTTATTGATCTTTGTTTTTGTCATATTTTTGCACTAATTTTATTAATACATTGTTGTATCTACACTAGTATGAATAGCACCTTCAAGTGACAGCACAACTATTTAGTGAGAAGTATGTTCAGTATCTTGTATTCAGATATGTTTGAGTGTGGCTCCCCAAGTGGTGATTTTATTTACATAATACACTGTTATCTAGTGCAGTTTCACTTAACATGTAAATCTGTATTTTTGGAGGTTATGCTTGAACCCAGCATAATTGTGCTAGTACTTTTGTAAATGACTAAACCTGTTTTTTTTGTCCTGAAACCAGAGTTTTGGATGAGCACCCTAATCTACAGAGTTTAAAGACTAATTTGCTCTAATATTTGAAGATGGAGAAGATGGTAAAATTTGCTCACAGTTTGTTTAGGGAACAGCTGTGGATGTATTCAATTGCATTTATTGTCAGATTAGTCCTTGTGTTATATGGAGTTTACCAGGACCATACAATGATCGTGAAATACACAGATATTGATTACCATGTCTTCACAGATGCTGCTCAATATGTCACTCAGGTAATTCTGGAATTCATTGTATTGCTGCACTATAACGGTAATATTCTCTTCAACTATCTTATTTCTCATTTTGTTTACTGATCCAAGCATGGGTCTCAGGAGCCTGAGAAAAACGGACTTTTTGGCTATAGGCTTAATCTAGGTTCACACTGTGAGTTTTTTCAATCAACTAGTGGGCCGAACGAAAAAAAAAAACCTCAGATTTCTGCATCCACAAAAGCAATCTGAATGTAGGAATCAACCCAGCATGTAATATTGTATTATGGCTGAAATCCCCCTCACTCCTCCACATCAGCCAGATTTTGGTCCATATGGACTCAGATTAAAGCTCTTTATTGAAATCCATGTGTGCTGGCAGTAGCACAAGGCACTGGAAGTGTGGAAGTGTGTAGAGCACAAAGATGAAGACCAGTGAACAGGGATTAGCTGTAATTGAGGGTACCAGAGCAAAAAAAAAAAAGTGTAGGCAAGATACAAACCAAGATTAGTAGTTGGCGGGCAGAAGGGATTTCAATTCAGAAGATGGAGCTGAGGTCAGGATCAGCTAAGAAGCAAAGATACAGAATCGATAGATAATAAGCAGAGTTGAAAATGGGCCAAGGTCACAACAGGTAGGTTGAAGTCCAAAGACGGGTCACAAGACAAGCCAGTTCATACACAGGAAGGCAGAATAACAGGTCAGGTTGCAGGTTATCTGAAACTAGCTGAAAACAATTTGGTAATCTCTCAGCAGCAGGATAAACTCTCAGTGCCCTCTAGCAGTTAGCAACACAATTATCCCTTGAACCCAGCGCTGTATAAATCAAAAGTCCCACTTCAATACTAGGAAGTCTCTTATATCACCCAACAGGTGTGTATCTCCTCATGTGTATAATGTGCCAGACCCTTACCAGATGTTCTGACCCACAGAAAAAAATGGGTCCAATAAACTTTTCTTTCCACAAATCTCTGTGTCTTCACTGATAGGTGAAATTTTGCTCATTCCTCCTCACATGTATCCTCATAAAAAGGAAAACTCATATAGTGTAGTATCCTCTGAATCCATAAAACATAATGGCTACTTTTGTGCTCACATGTACAAGTAACAAAATGCCATACACCGCCATGTGACTTGTGCCGTTTTTATCCCCCTATTGTTCATATCCTTACCCATTCTTTTATATCCTATAGCACATAAAATCACCTCCTCTGGTTCTTCTGTCAGTCGCCAATCTGAAAGGTTTCTTCACATTTCTTCAACTATAACTTGCATTTGCAGCAAGTTGCACATGGAAGGGCAATGTACATACAAACAAAGAGAGACTAAAGTTGAACCAATGAACCCTGTGTCATAAGGGAAAGTATTAGCAAGGAGTTGCGAGTGTGGGGGAAGGTCCATGTGGTTAGAATGATCATGGGGTGATTTGTTTTGCACATTTGAAGCACAAGAGAATGTGAGCTCAATTTTAAAATGTGATTCAGATATTGTGTACAGTATATACATATTACACTGGGTTTTGTTTTCAAGGATAACACATGAGGAGCATTTGGTGATTGATAGAAGATTCGGAGAAGATTTTATGTGATATAGGACATAAAAGATTGGGAATTTAAGGATGTGAACAATGGGGGAAGAAACACGGCACACATCACATGGTGGTGTACTGCATGTTGATACTTGCACATGTAAGCACAATAGTAGCTATTACGTTTTATGGATTAAGAGGATACTTCACTATATGAATTTTCCTTTTCCTGGGGATACATGTGAGAAAGATTTCACCTATCAGTGAAGACACAGATTTTGTGGAAAGAAAAGTTTATTGGACCCATTTTTTTTCTGTGGGTCAGAACATTCGGTAAGGGTTTGGCGCATTATACGCATGCGGAAATACGCCCCTGTTGGATAAAATAAGAGAATTCCTTGAATTGTATTGGGACTTTGATTCAAACAGCACTGGGTTCAAGGGATAATTGTGTTGCTAACCTCCAGGGGCCATTGTGAATTTATCCAGCTGCTGGGGAGGCTGATTAGACACTTGTTAGGTGATAATATTGGATCAGGCTTGAACACATGATTGAGGGGGTAAGATTATCAACCCCATCTACTGAAAGAATTAGATATACAGCTCACATAGAGGGAAGACAAAATGAGTTGCAAGGGAGTGTGAAGAAGGGGAGTATAAGTGTAGGTGGGTACAAGATATTTCCTCTCTTCTAAATGTGTTCAGTTGTCTTCTAGATCGAAACATTGCATCATGGGAAGAGTTCATGTTACCCCTTTCCTGGCTATTTTGTGTGGGGCTCCAATATAATGGCAGGGAAATAGGAGAAAGGTGAGCGTTAGTGGGCAATCTCTTTAAGCAAGCTTGAATTTCATTGCTGCATTTATTCCCTCCCCTATCCCTCTTCTATGCCTCCATCTTGCAAGGTTTGCCTATGTGCAGATGCACCGCTGGTTTCTGCCAGGTGTTTGAGACCTGGAGGAGGCTATCTGCACATGTGCAGAGGCTTTTCTATGCATACACTTAAACGCTGCCATTTCTAATGTATGGGCACCCTAGTTTCCGGTGACGAATGTGCAAATATTCTAAAAGCTTGGCATTTGCACAGATACACAGCACACTGCCTCCTGGGATAGCTGTGACATAGCAATCTTGGGAGGCAACGGGGCCCAGCCTGGGACACAAATTTGGAAGTGCTGCCTTGCAGCACCAAAAACAGCAGAAGGTAAAAAAACATAAAATGTTTTTACATTTTTGTAAGAGGTAGGGGGGAAGAGCCAAAAAGAGAAAAAAAAACGTTGCTTCAGGGAGTTAAGTTACCAAGGGAGTGGAAGGAGAAAGCCCAAATAAAATTAAAACTAATGAACTTGTCTGTTGCAGAATGCCCTGACCAATATCCAATTCATGTGCTGCTGCATGCTATGATATATACAGTATATATTAGGCTTAGACAAAATATTTAACATTTAGTATATCAAAAGGAAATTAAAGTTATGCTGACTTCTATTCTGTTTCAGGGATTGTCACCTTACCGGAGAGCAACCTATCGTTATACTCCATTACTTGCCTGGATCCTAACTCCAAACGTCTACATCTCAGAGCTATTTGGGAAGGTGCTATTTGTGTGGTGTGATGTAGTTGCTGCCTACTTAATCCACAGAATCTTGAGACTGCAAGGATTAGACAAGCACTCTGCGAAAAAGTATAGTGCTTTCTGGCTTTTTAACCCTTTACCAATGGCTGTGTCCAGCAGAGGAAATGCAGAATCTATTATGGCTGTGCTTGTCCTGGCAGTATTGTATAATGTGCTGAAGCATAATCTTGTCAAAGCTGCACTTCTCTATGGTTATTCTGTGCACATGAAGATTTACCCAGTAGCTCTCCTTCTACAAACTGTACTATATCTGCAAGCACAGAGGACTAAGAAAAAAAAAGACACATAAAGGAAAGTTTTCTATACCCAAATGGTTTGACATGGCGTGGGATAGGCTTGAGAGGCTGCTAACTTGGGATATTTTTTGTCTTTGGAGCTGTCATGAGTCTGACACTGCTGATGCTAAACTGTGCTTTTTATTATATGTAAGTTTTTTTGTTTGTTTTTTTTTGTTTTCATTTTTTTCTTTTAGTTTTTAGGGTCCATGGACACTTGCTTAAAAAAAAACGCTGCTCCTAGAGGAATTTAGCGTTTTACCTGTAGAAACAACTAACCTTATCCTGTGTCCGTGCACATTAGGTCGTTTAGAGACATATTTTAAGCTCAGCAACCCTTCTGTTTAGCTTTTTTTTCTGACAGAAAACCACTCTCAAAAATGCAAAATGCTCCTAGTACAAAACTCAAAATTAGCATTTTTTTTTCTGCCAAGAGCACTGGCATTTTTTAAGCCAGTGTGCATAGACCCTTAATAGTATTTATTGGTAAAAAAATGTGTAAGAGTACAAAAGATATTACAAAGTTTGATATTTTACATTTCATACCAATAGTCATATAAATAGGTAATAGTTAATAATCATGACTATGAGGGGTGAGGATAATATGTAGAAGAGGCAACCAATGGTCCCCTTGCAGAGGTTCAAGCTACTCTTGCAGAGGTAATTTGCACAAAATACCCATATTTCCCGAAACTCATAAAGGCAGTATTAAACCCACAAATATGTTCTATCGCAGCTTCCCGATTCTTTTATGTGGCTACTGCACTAGTTTTCTTTTTGAGGCTTTTTTCTTTTATTTTCACCTGTTGATCCAGCCTGTAGGTATATTATTTTTCAACTTTTTACAGACCAAGCTGTCCAGGAAAAGTGGCAGTTAGAGGTTTGACACAAACTATTTAACACTAATAGGGGTGCCTACAATGATAAGCTTTAATCAATGTATGGGAGATCTTCATTCAAAAAAAAAAAAAAACTATTGCTGTAAATGCTTAAAAGTGTTAGCTGGAATTTGGCTGTTAGATTTGCAGCAGATTAGCAGATCTCACTGGATTTGACTAACACTTCCCTCTCCCAGACTGACAATCAAATTGCAACCCCATTACCTTTTACACTCTAAATATTGGTGTAGCATGTAACAAGATGTAAAAGGTGGCCTCCATTTTAGTGATAGTAATAGAAAGTTCTGAGAATTAATTTGTAGTTCATGCCTCTCTGACCATCTCCAGTATCACTCCTAGGTCCTTCATCAACTTATATACATACAGTGGATATAAAAAGTTTACACACCCCTGTTAAAATGGCAGTTTTCTGTGGTGTAAAAAAAAATTAACAAAGATAAATCATTTCAGAACTTTTTCCACCTTTAATGTGACCTGTAAGCTGTACAACTCAATTGAAAAACAATTTTTTTTTGGGGGGGGGGAGTAACATTAAAGAACTAAAATAATGTGATTGCTTATATCTGAACACCGCTACATCCCCAGTTATAAAAGGGTGTGCACACTTATGCAATCACATTCAAAATCATGTTAAAAAGGAATCAGTACACCCCTGCCATCATTTAAAGTGCCTTGGATTAACCCCAAATAAAGTTCAGCTGTTCTAGTAGGTCTTTCTTGACATTTCGTAGTCACATCCTACAGCAAAAGCCATGGTCCGCAGAGAGCTTCCAAAGCATCAGAGGGATCTCATTGTTAAAAGGTATCAGTCAGGAGAAGGGTACACAAGAATTTCCAAGGCATTAGATATACCATGGAACACAGTGAAGACAGTCATCGAGTGGAGAAAATATGGTGTAACAGTGACATTACCAAGAACTGGACGTCACTCCAAAATTGATGAAAAGACGAGAAGAAAACTGGTCTGGGAGGCTGCCAAGAAGCCTACAGCAACATTAAAGGAGCTGCAGGAATATTTGGCAAGTACTGGCTGTGTGGTACATGTGATAACAATCTTCCGTATTCTTCATCTGTCTGGGCCATGGGGTAGAGTGGCAAGATGGAAGCCTTTTCTTACGAAGACAAACATCCAAGCCTGGCTAAATTTTGCAAAAACACATCTGAAGTCTCTCAAAAGCATATGGGAAAGTGTGTTTGTGGTCTGATGAAACCAAGGTTGAACTTTTTGGCCTTAATTCCAAAAGATATGTTTTGCGCAAAAACAACACTGCACATCACCAAAAGAACACCATACCTACAAAGAAGCATGGTGGTGGCAGCATCATACTTTGGGGCTTTTTTTTTTTTTTTCAGCTGGAACTGGGGCCTTAGTGAAGGTAGAGGGAATTATGAACAGTTACAAATACCAGTCAATATTGGCACAAAACCTTCAGGCTTCTGCTAGAAAGCTGAACATGAAAAGACACTTCATCTTTCAGCATGACAACGACCCAAAGCATACATCCAAATCAACAAAGGAATGGCTTCACCAGAAAAAGATTGAAGTTTTGGAATATCCCAGCCAGAACCCAGACCTGAATCTGATCGAAAATCTGTGGCATGATCTGAAGAGGGCTGTGCACAGGAGATGCCCTTGAAATCTGACAGATTTGGAGTGTTTTTTCAAGGAAGAGTAGGCAAATATTGCCAAGGCAAGATGTGCCATGCTGATAGTCTTTTGGGTATGAGCCTAAGTGCTGTAATAACATCAAAAGGTGCTTCAACAAAGTATTAGTTTAAGGGTGTGCACACTTATGCAACCATATTATTTTAGTTTTTTATTTTTACTTCCCTCCACCTAAAAGATTTCAGTTTGTTCAACTGAGTTGTACAGTTTATAGGTTACATTACAGGTGGAAAAAGTTCTGAAAGTATTTATCTTTGTCTAATTTTTTTACATCACAGAAACCTGACATTTTAACAGGGGTGTGTACACTTTTTATATCCACTGTATGTGTAAAACAAAAAAAAAACTTTTCCAGTTCTTACTAAAATTGTGTGGTTTGAAGTGGAACTATGCCACTACCGATCACCTGGCCCCTTCCTATCTGCAAGTTTGCAGAGCACATTATGGCAGACTAAGCCCCAAAGTTCTGTCCTCCAGAAAATGCAACATCCTTGCTTCCCCTCATTATTCCATCACCCCCCTGCTGCCATCTTATTCTGAATCTAGAATCTCCAGTCTTCTGTGCGTACACATTTTGTTCCCATCCTGCTTTTTTGAAGACATAAGTGGGTAATCATCAAGAGCTGGAACACCAGTTGGAATTGTTTTGCCGTAACTTTCAAAGCTCCGTTTCCTTCTACTGCGGCTCCGTTTCCTTCTACTGTGGCAGAAAAGCTATAAGGTTTGAAGCAATTACTTCTCAGAAAAAGTTTGTTTTTTTCATTCTTTCTTTAGTTATACTCTGGTCTGCAGGAGCATTTGGACACTCCCAAAAGAAAAAAAATGTGGCCAGCCAGGTATAACCACTTCCACTCCCAGCATGCTTCAGTTTTTTTGCTAGTGTCCTAAGAGGATGCACATCTTATCTCTACTGAGAAAAGTTTAACTATTTTACTAGCCATTTTCTCCTTTTCACGATTTATATTTTCATGAGTCAAAATTCCAAATTACATGCTGCTGATCTGGGCTCTTTATGCAGCTGTCTGGCTCAGTGCATCCTCAGCAAATAAATTGGAGAGTTATACTCAGACCCCAGCTGCCTGGACTGAAGATTGCAAGGCGAGCTTGGAATATGACATTGACATTAGGCTCTGCTTGTGATGTTTTCCAGACCTTTGTGTCTTTGTTAGATCCAGGTCCAGAACAATGTCACAGTCTCTAGTATGACCCTGACTCTTAAGACTACTTAATGAGTCTACTGTATGTGCAGAGTATCAGGAGCTACTATATTTGTTGGAACTGTTGAGGGCCTATTAATCCTTATTTTTCTGTTTGTTTCCACAGAGAGAGTTAACACGATGGGGATTTAAGTGCTGTGTAATCAGCTACAGTGTTGTGACTGTGTATGCCACATCTCTCACCACTCTTCTCACTATTGATCCTATTTGCAAGAGCTAAGCTTAGAGCGCATGCATTCAGCCCTACACTGTTGTGTAGACTGGTTAGTCAATATTTTAAAATGAGTCTCTTATCTGTAAATACAAAATTTATTTTTGGTCTGGTGGCTCAGGAATCTACTCTGGCGTGGAGAAATCCTTCCTCCTGCTGTCTTGGAAAATTCTAACAATGGATGCCAGCCTAAAAGGATGGGAAGAAATCATAGACACCTTGTCGGTGCAGGAGACATGGTCACCAGTGGAATCTAGTCTCCTTGTCTCTTGAACTGCAAGTTTTGTTTAGATCAGGAGTGAGCCAGACATCACCAGAGCAGTATCAGACATTGACTATCAGGGAGGATCCCAAAGTCTTCTTGCAGGCGGGAGTTACAAATGGTTCTATCTTGAGCAGAAGTCCATATCCTAGGCTTGTTTGTCATACAATTGGTAAACAGACTACCTCAGCTGCCTACACCTTTAAGCATTTCAGGACCTGTTTTACAAGTGAGGAACACTGGATGTGAGCCTGCTGGCCTTTAGGTCCAACAAGAATCTGGACAGATTTGACTACAGATGCAGAGAACCTGTATCAGAAGCAGTGGATTCTGTGATGACTTTGCAGGATCAGTACAGCACAATCTTTGCCTTTTTCTCCTCTTAATCTGCTTCCTCATCCACTCCACAGGATTGAGATGGAGGGCATTCTGGTGATCCTCATATCTCCAAACTGGGCCAGGCAGATGTGGTACCCTATTCTGATCAAACTAATGTCCCATACCCTATGGGATTTTCCAAAGCAACCAAATGTCCTCACCTAAAGACCAGTTTACCACCTTGCTGGCTTTAATGGCAAGGCTGTTGAAACCTAAGTCTTGTGAGACAGGGGCCTCTCTGATTTGGTTATTCCCACACTGTAACACTAGAAGGTCTACCTCCAGCAATGTGTACAATTGCACATGGAAGGCATACTTCACATGGTGCAGAGAAAGAAGTTTTCACTGCAGAAAATGTTCTATGGAAAGAATCTTGACCATTCTGTAATCAGGCCTGGATCAGCACTTTGGCCTGTGTGATCTTATTCTAAAAACAATTAGCCACCCATTCATTGATTTATGAATTTTGCACAGGGTATCTCTTATGTGGCTTCTCTTGTTCATCCACCTGTGAATTGGGGAAATAGAATCTGGGTCTGTGGGCACTTCAAGGACCACCCTTTGAACCTATCGAGATATTGCCCTTTTCACCCTTACTCATCAAGTTGCTTTTCTTGTTGCCATCCACTATGCTCTGGAAGCCTTGTAAAGAAACCTTTATGGTCTTACAAGGACAAGATGGTGTTGATGCCTAGAGCCTTCTTCCTTTCTAAGGTGGTTTAGGCCTTTCCCCCATTAAAGAAATAATGCATGAGATACTGGTTTCCCCTTAACGTTTCTTGGTGGCTCAGACAGAACATCATACAAGCTTACAGTCTAAATGGCAAGGTACCATGGTTTATGGTCAAAGCACACTTAACTAGGTCTGCAAGTGCAACTTGGGCTTTTTGGCATTAAGGATCTGTTTTTCACCAGGTCTTCTGTTCACGTTTTTTAAGTTTTACCAGACAGATGATGCTTATGCCTCATTTGATGTCAAATTTGGGTGTAAGGCAGCTTTTTGAGTTGCAGGCTAACCCCAGTTCTATTGTTTTATGTGGACCTGCTAGTGTAGTGTTACTGTTGCCCATGCCTCAGTTATACTGTGCACTTTAAAAAAAAAAAATGTAAATGACTCTTTGTAGAATATACTAGCACATTTTGACAGACTTGCCTTTACAAGCGGAGCTCTCCAGCCACACACTGTTACTGCTGCAGGCACTTCCATCTTTGTCTGGTCTTCCTTCCAGGTTGGCATTCTCTGGCCGTTTGAATTATCCGGGCCACGGTGATGTCACTTCTGCACATGTGCACAGGAGGCACCATATCGGCACAACATTCTTTTGATCCACAGCACACTAAATGTTCTGTGCATGCAGAGTACAACGCATGCGCCAATTACATCATTGTCTTACGCCGATGCCACTGTCTACTAAACAATGCAAGTACAAGCCATTTGAATGCCACCTACACATACGAATTTTGTGAATTTATTACCATTTTAATGCATTGCTGCAACTTATTATAGATGCTATAAACACTTAAAGTGGTTCTAAAGACTCAAGGTTTTCTACCTTCGTGCATTCTATGGGTAAAGGTAAAAAACCTTCTCTGTGCAGCAGCCCCCCCCCCCCCCCCCCCCCCCCCCCCCCAGCTAATACTTACCTGAGCCCCCTCTCGATCCAGCGATGTCCACTAGAACCTCGGCACCCTGGGGACTTTCATTTCTGATTGGCTGAGGCAGCAGTTTGAGGCATTGGCTGCAGAGCCACGGTTTGAGAGTGTGCCTGCTTGGATGCCCCCAGACCAAGCTGCTTGCTCTGAGGGCACTCAGCAGGGAGGGGCCAGAAGCGATGGTGGAGGACCCTAGAAGAGGACCCTAGAAAAGGAGGATCAGGGCTGCTCTGTGCAAAACCACTGCACAGAGCAGGTAAGTATAACATGTTTGTTATTTAAAAAAAAAAAAAAAACTAGACTTTATTTAAAGTCTTTTTTTAGCCTACACCCAAGAACTAAATGTTATTGTATTTTCTTGTTTTTGTTTTGTCAGGTATGGTTGGGATTTCTTTGAGCACACATATCTGTACCATTTGACACGAAGAGATATACGGCACAATTTCTCTCCATACTTCTACATGTTGTACATTAAAGCTGAAAGTGACTGGAGTTTCAGCCTGGGTCTCATGGCTTTTCTTCCTCAGATGCTATTGCTCTGTGTGGTATCTGGAACCTATTATTATAAGACCTGCCATTCTGCTGCTTTCTCAATATCTCTATTTTTGTGAGCTTCAACAAAGTATGTACATCTCAGGTAATTAACTCACCTCATTCATGTGGTACAGATCAAACATCAATAGGTATTAAGAGTACTTAAATAAGTTATTTTTTTAGATTTAAAATTGCATTTCTCAAATCATGATCATTGTTAAAGGTTTGTCCTTAAAGGTGCCATCTTTTTATAGTTGAACTCAAGTTTGATATAGAAAGATATAAATGAATGCAGCTCTGTGATCATTATTACATCATTGTTGGTGGACAAGACCCGTAAGTGTTATTTAAATAAGAACTTTGGGATAAGGAAGAATATTTTTCCTTCAACTGGTTTGGAAGGTGATCACAATGGACACCAGTTATCGGGCTCAGGAGGAGTCCTAAGTACCCTCTCAGTTTATGGAATGTGGTCATTGGAGTAATCTCATCTCCGATCAGTATTCTGGATCTCAGGGTTATTCAATTATCCCTTCTATGCTTGACTTTTCATTTGCAAAGTCATCCAACCAGGAGTCTGCTGGACAGTGCTATGGTAGTAGCATAAAGGATCAAGGTGGGAGCAGAATTGTTGCGGTTCAAGAGAATTTAATCTAGTTCTAGTTGGGCTGAACTTCATGTTCCAGCCCTGAGCACATTGCACTTTCCAAGCATGGGAAATGTGCAGGCGGATTACATGGTTGTCAAATTAGAACCTCCTGGTTTCCATGTTCCAACAAACTGAGCAGGTTTGTCTCCAAATCCAAGGATTCTTTCCTTTGCAGTGATTGCTCTGGTCACAAGTGGTATTAGTTCTACCTGATCTACACTTTTCTCCCTTCAAGCTCCTGCTTCGTGTACTTTGCAAGATTAAAATAGAGGCAGTCCCAGTGTTTCTCAATGCACTGAACTGAGCCAGGAGGAATGTGGTATACAGAGCTTGTCAGGCTCCTGGCAGACTCTCTGTGAACACTCCAGGATCATCTGGATCTTTTGTCCTGATGGCCAGTTTGCCACCCTGCTTCTTAGTTACTTGCGTTTAACAGCTTGGATGTTCAAGCTGAAGTCCTAAGGGACTAGCGCCTGTCAGATTTGGTCATGCTGGTGCTCTTGAATGCTAGGAGATCAACTTCTCACAAAGTCTGCTGTTGCACTTGGAAAGCATATTTCTCTCCTGTCTTTTCTTGAGCAACATTTGGCCTTGAGTATTATCAAGGGTCAGTTCTCGACCATTGGAGGTTTTTGTTTTTCCCTCCTCTAACACTGGGGAATGCCTTTTGTACAGGGTGTCATTCACATTGTTCCCCTTTGTACATTGCTATAAACCTATTTCTGTCAGCTCTTCAGAGGCCAGCCCTTGAAACTAGCACAGGCATTCCTATGTGTAGCCTTTATCACAAATTTGCCTCTCATTGCCATCACTGCTGTGAGACAGGTTTCCAAGTTAGTGGCCTTAAATTTTAGGGAATCTTTTCTTATGCTACACAAAAAACAAGTTTTTTTTGGGGGGCCCAGAACCCCTTTTCTTCTCAAGATGAGTTTTTCTTTTCACCTTAATAAGGACAATGTTCTACCATTTCTCTTTCCTACGCCTACAAATTCTACAATTTTCCTCCATTGTCTGGTTGTGGTATGAGCTGTTTGAGTTTGTCAGCTACAGCTCCTTTCTCACCATTTGTCATTCCTTAAGGTCTTTATAGATAACAGCCAGCTTCTAGTGCCATTATTGAATAGATGGATTCGACAGCTCATTATTCTTGCTTATGACCTCAAGGACATTTTCCGCTTTCCCTGTCAGGCGCGTTCTGTTTAGATCAGTTAATGCCTTTTGGTATTTTCAGCATTCGTCATCTGTTTTTCAAATTTGCAAGCCTGGCACCTCATTTTCTCTTCACATATTTTTATGTTTTACATGGTGGATTTTCAAGCTTCAGCTGATATCAGCTTCGTTTTGAAGTTCTCCTCAGGCAGCCCCATGGGTTCTGTTGAGCCACACCTCTGTTAACCTGTTTTTTTTTTTCTACTGAACCTGTTAGTCTTTGGTTGCACTTATGCCCACCCCTCAGTTGGGCTGCTTTTGGATGTTCCATTGATTTCAGAATACTTCATCCTGTGTCCTGTAATGCATTCCAAGAAAAGCATTTTACAGGTGAGACAAATATACTATATTCCTATTCATTGCATTAGAGGACAAGAGTCCCCTCCCCTTTGTTCTTATGATCTACTCCCAAATTTTGCATGCCTGGCTTCCTTACAGTGTTCTTTGCCAGTGTCCAGTATCCTGAAGATAGCAGCATAACCCATAGGTTCCAGAATACTTCATCTTGTAGTGTACGCCAAGAAAAGAAATTTATAGTTAAGACAAAAATCCTATTTTTCTGTTTGGTGTTGCATACCATATACTTAGAAGTTTACAACCTCCAATCATGTTACAGAGTGATGCATTCTGCCAATTTCCATACATCAAAAGATTTTGTAGAAATATACTTTTAAGGTAAACATTAAAATTAAAAAGCCATGTACATTGTCTTTTCTTAACACGTATGTGACAGAAGGTTACTATGTGACAGCTTTAATATTCTGGTTTTATCTTCTAGTATTTCCTCTGGTATCTCTGTCTCCTGCCACTCATTATGCCTGGGCTGCAGATGTCATTGCGACATGGAACATTCCTGCTAATTTTATGGTTTCTTGGACAGGTAATACCTGTGATATAATTTTACTAGTTTTCATACTGTCAAAATGATTCTGAAGGCTAATATAGCGAAACTGCCATGAAATGAAAGTCTAAGGTAACAGAACTGCCATATTCATAAACTTGCGCTTGCTTTTAAAAGACATGTAATTTGTATTAAACACGATTTTATAGCATTCCATAGATTCACTGGCTAAGAGACAAGGAAATATAATTATATAATTTTCCAGGAACATATGGGAAAACTTTAAAGGTAATTGTTAGTTCTGTGCAAGTAAATAGTTGTGTGCACATGGACAAATTGACATTGCGTCATTAAAAATACTAAGCTCTGGTTCACACCAATGCAATTTGACAGTTCAAAATTGCATGACAAGGCACACCCCATTTGCAAATTGTTGCGACTCAAGTTGCAGCGACTTTGAAAAAGGTATCTGTACTACTTTTCTGTGATTTCATTATGTATTGTATTGACTTTTTGTAAAATGAAATTGCAAGCCACAATGAAATTGAACAATAATGTAAGGTTCTAAAACAAGCTTTGGTTCACACCAGTGTGCCAAATCACACTGAATCTGTGGTTTTGAAAGCCTGCTGAAGTAGTGTGATTTCAAAGCCCTACTGGTGTGAACCAGAGTTTTTTGTAGACACATTCTTGCCCTTAAAAATCCTTAAATAAAGAATGTGAATCAGCCTTCACCTTGTCTACCACTCTTTGTAGAATATGTAAACTCCCATCTTATAAAACCACTCATTCAGTTTAAAATCGAAGTGAACGGCAAAACATTTATGCATACATATAAAAAAAAAGTGAAAAATGTATTTATAATTTATAAATGTTTATAATGCACACTGATCTTCCTAGTGAACGGCTGTGCAGGGGGCGGTGGGTCAGCAAAAGTCTGATCATTGAATTAGTGCCCAGCCAGAAAATTGACCATGGTTCATGGCTTTTGTGGTCCATTTTTAATTTAAAAAAAAAAAAAACAGGACTGGCAGGAACATCAGGGATTTCACACTAAGAAAACAATACAAAGAGAAAAGGATACTTTTTCATACAAGTAAATGGTACAGCAGGCAAATATCTGGAATATGTAATGTTTTGTTTACATATTCTTTAAATCATGCATATCAAACTAACATTGCTTTGTTCTTTTGTAGGCTTTGTGGCTGTCTCCAGCCTACTTTCTGGAATTTGAAGGAAAAAATACATTTTTACAAGTGTGGCTAGCTGGATTGCTCTTTCTCGTTATAAATTGTTACATTCTCACACAAATAATATCTAGATACAAACTAAAGCAATTTAAACAAAGCAAAAGATAAATGGCAATAGGTGTGGTGTAAAGTTTCCTTTATGCTGCTTTTTTTCCCTTTCTCTTCCCTTTGGGGACATTATAAAACATCATTTTATTGTTTCCTCTTGGATACTTTGGTGCATGAAAGACAGCAGATGAGAATATTGGTTATGAAACACAACTTTGATATCGTCCATCTCATCATCCAAGCAAATGTTATGTCGTAACCACACATTTCTTTCTGTACTTAAGCTGACACCTTTTTGTTACTGATGATTTTGTCATAAAACTGATCACATCTATGCCCAAGTTCCTGTTTGATTCCTTCTTCTAGGGGGCTTTCTTTGTTGTATAAATTCAATAAAAAAATTGAAAGTCTCGTTTTTGGGTTATGCCCTGTTGCCTGAGAACAAGTAAAAAAAAAAATATATATATATATATATATATATATATATACACACTGAAATGACTGGCAAGCTTACCTCTTATTAGCAAAGAAATGAAGATGAACCTGGAAAAAAAAAATTGCTATTGTGTAAACTGATCATGTGAGCTACAGCAGCTCATTGCTATAGACACTAAGGTTCTTTAATTATATTGAGTTGTTTACAATACTGAATGTAGGTAATTATAAAATGAGTGTTAACTTGGTAATGGATTCAGTTGTTTCTTTTTAACATTTTGTCCATGTGAAATTTCTTACAAGATCTTTCATTTTATGTTTCGTGTATATTTGGAGCAAATGTTACCCTACATTAAATTATTTTAAAAGCAGATGTTGGCAGAGGAAACGAGCTATGAAATGTGATACATGTGAACTGGAATAATTTTATAATGTTTACCATAGAAAAAAAGAGCACAGCAGAAATCCAGTTGTTATAAATTCATCTAATGTATACCTCAGTGCCGGTTCACATACATACAGATTAGATGGTTTGAATTGCATCCAATCCGCATGACATGTAAAAAAACATTGCTTATGGGGGGGCACAGTCACTGATGGGGTGCTGCGTTTGTGTGTGTGCGCTGCGTTGATGGAGTGCTAAGAAGCAGTTACAGACAGCCATTTAACTAAAGCAGGATAACTCAAGCAGCAGGAAGATACAACAGCAAGAAACTTTACTGCATGCTGGACAGACTGCAAGCAAACACCCTGGGAAACATCTCTTACAAGTCTGAGTCCCACTCCGTGTACCTTTTTAATATGTCCCCTCTATTCCTTTTCATATTACTATCCTGCATTCCCAAAATCTCACTTCTTTACCCTTCTACTCTACCCCAAAACTTGTACATCTCCCCCTCACTGCTACCATCTCCCCACTACTGTTCTCATCACCTCCTGCTGACCCAAACACCGGCCCAGAAAGGCATGTGCACTCGTGTACATTCCGCTCCCATGTTACTTGCCTCACCCTTCTTCTCCTAACCTCTGGGGATAGTTCCCCAGACCCTGGTCCTCCAGTATTTCACCCACACACCAGGCATCCTCCTTCTTCTGGGAATAGCTGCAATCCCCTCAATTTAATATCAGTACCTGTGCTCCCAAAAATCACCCTCCCTTTTTCATGTGTGCTCTGGAATGCCGCTTTGTCTGTAATAAGCTCACCTCTTTTTGTCTCCCGCTCCCTTAACCTACTAGCAATTACAGAAACCTGGCTCCAAGCAGCAGATTCTGCTTCTCCCTCAGCACTTTCCTATGGAGGCCTCATCTGGATCCACTCACCCAGACCCAGTGGTTGGAAAGGTGGTGGGGTTGGTTTGCTTTTATCCCCACTCAGCACCTTTCAAGTCCTCTCTCTCTATCCTCTTCTTTTGAGACTCACTGCATCCAGCTGTTTTCTCGGCCTTCTGGACCGGTGTCCTGCTTTTTTGATGATTTCTCCGCATGGCTACCCTATTTTCTCTCCTCTGAACTACCCGCTATCATTCTCAGAGATTTTAACATCCCTATCAATGTCAACAACCCGGCTACATCCCAACTCTTCAACCTAACCTCATCTTTTGCATTAGCACAGTGTATACAGTCCTCCACTCACTCTGATGGGAATACATTGGACCTTGTTTTCTCCTGCCTTTGCACTCCCTACAACCTCACAAACACCCCCTTTATTTTCACTGATCACAATCTCATCACCTAAACAGTGTCCTCGTCTTCAAACACCTACACTGTTCAACAGGTAAAAAGTTTTGGGCATAAAATTAGCTAATCTTACATAATTTTGGGGTGCTGAAAACGAAAATGACCCTAAAAAATGTTGATTGGCTCTAGTTTCCATGATATATTCACCCATCTAATGACGTAAGCCATTCAAAATTATGATGCAACTTCAGCTGCATATTGCGCAATTGATACTGGTGACCAATAGAAAATTGCATGTATACTGAGATGATGCAATATTAGCCTTTAATTGCATCACTTCACTGCATAAAAGCTGCAGTATCTGTAGCTGATTGTAGTTCGACAGCGTCTTTACATTTCGTTTTATGCTTATATAGGCTACTCAGTAATGCCTCGAACTTGTGTGAATAAAGCAGATAATTTCTGCTATATCTGCGGTGAAATAACTTTTATCTCACAAAAAAGGAGGATAACAGGAATTTAATAAGAAAGCCTACAACTTGTATTTTGGCTGCAAGATAGGAGACCAGGACAAGAGCTGGGCACCACATATATGCTGCAATTCTTGTGGGACGGCACTGGAGCAATGGTTGAATGGAAAAAAGGCATCTATGCCTTTCGCTGTGCCAATGATTTGGAGAGAGCCAACAGATCATGTTAGTAATTGTTACTTTTGTATGGTGCCTCCAATTGTAAAAGGGCTAAATAAGAAGAAAAAGTTATCTGTGCACTATCCAAATATTCCATCGGCAATATGTCCAGTTCCTCATGGAGAGGGGCTACCAATTCCTAAAGCACCAGAATCCTTCGTGGTTGAGTCAAGTGAGGAAGAACCTGAAGCGTGTAGTCACGTGCAGTTGTAAGAGATAGCCCTTTCCTCGAATACAAGAGAAAAGCCAAGGGAAGCAAAACCGACACAAACTGAAGACAAAACTAGTGAGAATCCTAAGTATTAAAATGATTCAACTTAGCTTATGGCTATAATTTTTCTTGGTAATCCTATGCAATATATTATGCCATTTAGGCTTTGTTATGTAGTCAATATCACTTGCTTTATATTTGTGGAAAGACATCTATCTATATAATTATTGTGCATTATGTAGTCATTACGCCTATAGTAGAAAACTTTCCGTTTACAGAAAAACTAGAGCCAATTGACAAATTTCATTGTTATATTTGAACTCAGAATGTGAAATTCATTAAGAAATGGATCCTTTTGTTTCCAAAACTGGCAAAAAAATAAAAATTTGTTGAACAGTGCTATCGCTCCAAGCACCAAATAATTACCCGCAGAAACCTTCACAACTTGAACCCTGCTCCTTTCCACTCTGCAACTGACCGACTCTATGACAGAATCTCTCCCCTGTCCTGCCTACTGCTGTCTCCAACAATTCACTTTCATCCGCTTTAGACTCACTTGCTTCTCTAACAACATGAAGCATCAGGCCCGGACCATTTCAACCTTGATAGACTGACGACACCAGAAATCTTAAATTACATAGTCGTGCGCTGGAGCGATTGTGGCGTAAAACCAAATCCCAGTAAGCATTCACCCTATATAAATCCGCTTTCTTAACATACAATTCCTCCCTTCATGCTGCCAAACAAGCCTACTTTGTCACTCTTATTAATACCTTGTCATCCAGTCCTCGTCTCTTCTCTACTTTTAACTCTCTTTCTCCACCTCCACCCAGTACCTCACTCACTGCTCACGAGATTGCATATTTCAAAAACAAGATTGACGCAATTTGTAGGGGCATCGCCACTGCACAGACATCCATCCCACTTAGCATACCTTATACTAAACCTCCCTCAACACTTTCCTCTTTTGACCAAAGAGGTCATTAAGGTTTTCTCGGAAGCCCGTCTCACTACCTGCTCCCTGGATCCTGTCCCCTCACAACTACTACGGTCACCCTCTTCTTCCATCCTATGCTCCCTCACTCACATCTTCAATCTTTCCCTCTCTAACGGTGCCTTCCCTCCCCTCTAAAGCATGTGCACATCACTCCCATACTTAAAAAGCCCTCCCTGGACCCCACCAACCTGCTGCCATTTACCTCTAAACTCCTAGAACGCTTAGTCTACAATCGCCTGAGCTCCTACCTCACTAACAACCTTCTTGACCCTTTACAGTCTGGCTTTCACTCACTACAGTCAACTGAAACTGCCCTACTAAAACTCACTAATGATCTACTAACAGTTAAAACCAATGGCCACTACTCCGTACTCTTACTACTTGACCTCTTTGCAGCTTTTGATACGGTTGACCATCCCCTCCTCAAAAAAAAACTCCACTCTCTTGGTCTCAGAGAATCTGCTCTCTCCTGGTTCTCCTACCTACGCTCCTTCAGCGTTCCCTATAATGCTGCCGCCTCCTCTTCACTCCCTCTTTCTGTAGGGGTGCCTCAAGGTTCTGTCCTTGGACCCCTTCTCTTCTCCATCTACACCTCCTCCCTTGGTCACTTGATAAACTCCCATGGCTTTAAGTACTATCTCTATGCTGATGACACACAAATCTATCTTTCTACCCCCTCACCTCACCCCTTCAGTCTCCTCTCACATTACTAACCTACTAAGCGATATATCGGCATGGATGTCACTCCCCTTCCTCAAACTCAATCTTTCCAAAACTGAGCTCTCCGTATTCCCCCCAGCCCGTGCCCCCTCCCCTGACTTCTCCATCAAGATCAATAACACAATCATCAGTCCCTCCCCTCATGCCAGGGTACTAGGTGTAATCCTAGACTCCCATCTGTCCTTTCACCCCCAAATCCAATCACTGTCCAAATCTTGTAGACTTCACCTCTGCAACATCTCCAAGATACGCCCGTTCCTAACCTTGGAAACCACTTGGCAACTTATTCACTCCCTTGTTATATCTCGCCTTGACTATTGCAACTCCCTCCTCATTGGCCT